AGCTGGCTGAGGAATTCTGGGAGTTGAAGTCCACAAGTCTTAAAGTTGCCAAGGTTGGACACCCCTGAGTTAGATGTTTTTAGACATGGTGAGTAAATGGTGAGGAACAACAAGCACCCTGTTCCATGGTGAAAGGGGAAAAAAGACAAGGGCCTTCTTTAGGGTGTGCACTTATTACAAATGAGAGAAATGTCACCAGGTCCCGCCTCTTTCCTCACCGTCTAATGGAGGGAGGGGGAGATAGGGCAGATTTTCTAGGGGCAGGAAACCCACCCCACCCCCATTACGAAGATCAAGTCACCAGGCGGTCCAACTTAACCAAAGGAGACCTTCTGAGGGTTAAGAGGGTTGGAGGGCAGCGTGCCAGGAAAGCTCCAGTTTAAGGTAACACCCACCCAACAGAGGGTTTACTTTTTCACCTCAGCCAAATGGAGTCTAGAGTTTTACTTTCCTAGGAGATCAGACTGGGGAAGATCAGACTGCAGTTGTAGTCAACCTGGAGGACAGCACCTCTACTGCGGGGGCCGTGTACGCTAGGTCAGCTCAAGGGAGCAACCAGGAGGAGACTGAATGCTGGAGGGAGGCTTCATCCAGGCCCCCTCCTGGACTGGATCTCTCTGATTGCACGGAAGCGACAGAAAGTTACAGCAATCCACCAAGACCTAGTTTATGTACTAGTTTATCTGGTTTACTATCTGTGACCCTCAATTGGGTGGGTGTTATCTTAAACTGGAGCTTTCCTGGCACGCTGCCCTCCAGCCCTCTTAAATCTTCAGAAGGTCTCCTTTGATTTAGTTGGACCTCCCGGTGACTTGAACTTCATAATGTCAAGAAAATGATGTCAGCACTGGGAAAAAAAATGGCCAGTTTGTTCCCTAAAGGTCAAGGGATTTGCCTAATCCCAAGGACTCACATTTTAGTTTAAATGCGTCCAAGGCCCTAGGAGGCTAAACTGATGCCACGGTTGGTATTTTAAAAATGCGAAATGCCTTGAGAAAGCTTCTATCGCTGGATTCTACCCGCAGGCCAGCTGGTTAATCAGCATGCTTGCTCTTAACAAGGGAGGGGAGGGAGGTCAGACTACATGACCGTGAGGTAGCAAGATAAGGTGAACAAACAAAAGACCTTAAGGTTCTCAAAGTCCTTCTGGTATTTCTCCCTCAAGGTGGGCTCGTTCCCTTCCAGCTGCTTGTTCTCCAGCTCATCTCTCATGACGTTCATCTGGGATTCCAGTTCTTGAATCCGCTCTCTCAATCCGTGGAGGGCATTGGGATCATTTCCCAAGACCTGGATCCTGTTGTCGTGTTGGTCTTCTCCCGGGGCTTCTGCGCTGGAGATGATCCTGGCCGTGGCTTCAGGAGGCTTCTTCTGATACTTCTCCAGCGATTCTTCCAAGCTCTTGAGATTCTGGTTGTAGCGTTCCTGCAAGATCTGCAGTTCCTCATCGTGGAGGACCTGGATTTCTTTCATCTTGACCTGGAACTTTTCTTCTAAGCTTTGCATCTGCTCAAGATGGTATCTCTCCAGGTTCTCCTTATCTTGCACGAGGGCCTCCAGCTGGTGGCTCCCCTCAGTTCGTTCCACCTGCAAGGTGTCCTCAGTCCTATGCAGCTGCTCAACCACCTTCTGCATCTCCTTGTCATATTGGCTCTGAAGTTCTGCTATTTTTTGGCTCTGCTTATGTTCCTCCTCTTCCAGGAGCCTCCGCTGATTGTCCAACTGCTCCACCTTGGCTCTGAGGTCTTCGTTCTCTCTTTTGAGCATGGCAATCATATCAGCAAACTCGTTCTGCTGTTTCTGCAGCAATACTTCATACTCTTCCCTGAGGACCGTGACTGCCTGTATGCGCTCCTGGCACAAGGCGTCCATGTTTTGCAGAGACTCTTTGTACACCTTCGTTTCCTTTGTGTACTCCAGCCTTGCTCTGTAGGCCCCGTAACACACCTGGGCCTGAATAATCGCATCCTGAACGAGCAGAGAAGAGTAGCGTTCAAGATCCCCCATGCACATCTCGTAAGCAGGACTGCGTGAGATTTTGAGGAGCTTCTGACAATCTTTTAAGGCGCTGTCAGGGGACGTGGACAGAAGGGCAGCCGCAATCTCTTTCAGGACGTTGGCTTTGTCTTTGAGCTGCTGAGCCAGATCATCCTGGACAGCTGCCAGAGCTTGACTGCTGAGATCCTGTATGCTGTGAGCTTCCAAAATGCGGTCCTGAAGGCTGACGTGCCAGGTCGTTCGGGAGGCTTCTGAAATGCCTTCTTGGATCTCAAGAGCTTTAGAGATCTGGTGCATGATGCCATCAAATTCGGGAGATTTGTAGGCTTTAATGATTTCTTCCAACATGCACTTATGCTGCTGGAGGGCTGTTTTGGCATTGTGGAGGTCTTCTTCCATGGCTTTTAATCTCTGATGGAAGGATTCTCTCATTTTCTGAGCCACGAAACCCAGTTCGGCTTTAACCAGCGTACTGTCAGTAACCGACTGGATGAGATACGGAGGAAAGTCCAAGGTCTCCATCTTCCCTTCCTCCCCTTCTTCTTTGACCCTCAAGTGCTTTCTCAATTCTTCTACCTGTCTCCAGAACTCATCTTCCAACAACAGCTTCTTAGACAAGATGTCAGCCAAAGCCACAGCAGTATGGGAAATATTTGAAGGCTCCAATAAGACTGTCTCCAGAGTGGCATGAATCTCTCCAAGAGCTACTGAGATCTTTGAAGAGGCATCTGTCAGAGACTCTGCTATCTGGTTGATTAAACAAGCTTCAAAAGCCACCCTCCTGGAAAGCAACTTCAGCTGTTCTTCTACAGAAAATTCCAGCTGTTGCTTCCCTTGGGGAGAAGAAGCGTTGTTCTCATCCCAGCAGATGTCTTTAGTCTGCAAAGCTTGGACTGCCAGATGTTCTTCTGGTTGGTGTTCAGCTGGAGGAAGTGCCTTTTGCAACATCTGGATTGCATCCATTAAAGTACTTTCAATGCTGGACAGAGCATCCAAGAACATCTCTCCCTCTTTTCCTTTATCAGAGGTGCCCACATGTTTTAGTTCTTCTCTGCGCTGATTTAGACACGTTAATGCTCGGCTAGTCTTTTCATGGAGCTTGCCCAGCTCATGGATGTGGTTCTCATTCAGCTTGAGTTTTTCTTCCTTCTCGCTCTCTACCTGTGACACCAACTCTCTAATTTGAGTCAAGCTGTCTTGAAGCTGTTCTCTAAGCTGAGCTTCGATGCCAGACCACTGGTGGTGAAGGACCATGAGGGCGTCTTGATTTTGGCCCTGTTGACTTTCAAGTTTCAGGGTTACATCTTTGAGCTTTTCTTCGGTGATGTAAAGTTTGGTTTCTAGGGAGTGAATGATAGATAAGTAGGTCTCAGAATCCCCCGAGGCTGGGTAACAAAAAGCTGGTTCAGAAGTCATGCTTTCTTCCGAAAGGGACCGTTCCTGGCTTGTGTCGGAGGAAGTGCTGCTGACCCACATCTTCTCTGATCCATCAGGATGGATATATTTTTGGCACTGGATGTTGGAGAAACGTATCCGTTGTCTTTTGGCTCCTGGTATTTCCGCATCAAGTTTCGTTGAATCTTTCTGACCCATCTCTATTTCTGGAAGATCTACTGACTTCGATGGAGAAGAACATTCTTCGATGCTCACCACAGTAGGTCCACAGATTTGGCTCTGGATGCTACTGGGCCCTTCATGACTATCCTCAATCAGCATGCATCCCAGATCTGGGAGTCTCCCTTGCTTTGGGGAATATTGTGCTGGATCTTCAACCTTGCCCATACCAGTTGCGTTTGTTGCAACGTTCAGCACAGAACTTCCTTCAGCTGATGTCTTCAAATCCTCTTCTTTGGCTGGGTAGTCTTCTTTTTCTTCTTGATTGCTACCCACAGCAGTCAGAGGTTCACGGAAGTCCTTCTCCTTTTTCTCCACAAAGCTCAAATGGGTTTCTCTTACTTGTCTCAACTCCTCCTCTTTCTCTTTCAAAATCCGCTGCAAGTTATGGAACTGCTCTGACACCACCTCGTGGGAGTGCTCCAGAGTGTGGTAGCTGCTCTCCTCCAGCTGCAGCTTGGCTTGCAACTTAGCCACCTCATTATCGGATTCTGCAACTTGGTTCATCAACTCCTGGAATCGGCATTTAATTTGATCCCTTTCCTCCTCAAGACTCTTGATATGTTCCACCAGCTTCCGGATGCTGGCTTCTTTCATTTCTAGATGATCCTCCAGTTGATGGACCAGTTCGCTGCTTTCAAACTTGGCACTCAGCTTCTCCTTCAGAAGGATCTCCTTCTGTTGCTCATTGTTCTGAAGCTGGTTCTCGCATTCGCTGGCTTTATCCTCCGCTTCTTTGAGGCTCTGGATCAAGATCTGCTTCTCCCTCTCACAGCTTTCTAGCAAAGACTCGTAATTCTTCTGGAGCTTCTTCTCCATCAGCATTCGGGATTGTTCTCCGGCACTCAGCTGCAGGCTCAGGTCGGCGATGCGATCCTGGAGACGTTGGACTTCTTTCTGGTAGTCTCTCTGCAAAGCCTGTTGCATCTCTAAATCTCTCAGCTCTTGAGTCTTCTCCAGCAGGAGCGCTTCTGCCTTCTTCAGTTTCTGCTCGCTGGCCTTCAGCTGGGAATTCAGGGTCGTTTCACTGTGTTGCCATTCCTCCATCTGCTCCTCGGTCTTCTTCTTCTCAGCCTTCAGGTCGCTCTTCAGCTTGGCCAAGGTCTGCTCCTTGATGGAGAGGTCGGCAGCTGCATTGCTGAGCCTGGCTTGCAAGCTCTGGATCTCCGCTTCATGATGTCGGATGACGTCCTTAGCCTCCCCATAGCTACGTTTGAGCGACTGGATCTGCTGATTGATCATCTCCTGGCGCTGGCATTGGGCTTCCAATTCGCCCTGGAGATCTTTGTTGACTTTATGGAGCCTCTCCCAGGCCCCTGAGGAAGAGGAGGAGGAGGAGGAGGAAGAGGAGGAGGCCACTTCAGTCTTTAAAAGAAAATTAATTGAATAGAAAATTAGTAGCATTCTTGGTGCCCGGTTCTGAGTGTCACATCTCTGGTTAGGTTTAAGGCCACAGAACGCGTTGAATGGGATTGTTCATCCCCTTTCAGCTCCAATTCGGATTGTTATCCTGGTTTGGTGGGTTTTTTTTGGTTTTTCAAAAGCAGCCAGAAACAAACACCCCCCCCCGCCATTTTTTTTGTTTCAAGGATAACAGGGAGAACATCTTCCAACTTTAACAGACAGCATGGATGATAAAACACCACAACAGGTTGTACACAAAAGACCCTGAAAGAAACAACTTGAATAAACCAAAAGGGAGGGGGGGAAACAATGGACACCAGGAAAAATAATGGCGTAAAAGACAAGTAAAGGAAAGATTGGAGAGAGAATGAAAACGGAAGGGGTGAGAGGGAGGACCCAACGGTACGCTAGGAATCAGCAAGCAACTTCACAAAGACAAATCTCACCTTTGGGGTTCAAAGCTGAGCTAGAAATGGGTGCCAGAATTGGGCCCTCCCTGTGGAATTCCTCCTAGATCCAGTTGATCCCCCCACCCTACTGGTGTTTCGAGGGACCTTGGAGAGGTGGATCCGCACCCAGATCTTTGGCAATGGTGACCGAGCCCCGTTTGATTGTGTGAGTTTGGTGAGTTTTCCTGTCTGGTTTGCTGTCCTTCACTGCTGTTTATTAGGACCTCATTTTACATCCTTTGAATGTTGTCACTTGTGAACCATCCCAAGTTGTTGGGAGTTGGACAGTATGCAAATTTTTAATTAACATTAATAAAACAATCTATTTTGTTCTGGGATTCTGTCTCTGTCAAAGTTCTCTCAAACTTTCAGGACAGGGTGAGCTCTGAGCTGCTCTGCCCAGTGGCAGCTGAGTTGTTTTTCCTGGCACCCAGATTTCAATCTAGTGTTTTTTTGCAAATAAACAATAACACCAAACTTCATCTAATACGAACCAGGAAACCCACAAAACCCACACACCTGTCCCTTCCCCTCTTCCCTTTGCTGTAGCTGGCAACAACTGCCCCGCCCAACTCCTTCCTTCCCTAAATTTTAGAGGAATAAAATAGCATTTGATGCTTTACGTTCCTAGAAAAAACAAGGTGGGAATGAAATTTTGATGTTGAGGTTCTAGGTCTACCTAAACTTTGTTCTGCCTGCATGTCAAGAGAAGTAGGGTGGAAGGACAGAGGTAAGATGAAAACAAAGAGTCCTTTAAAGAGATGCAAAAGAAAAACATGATTCATGCACAGAGAAGAGTGTACAGAGATTCGTGCAATGGTTGGGAAAGAAGGCCACATGGTATGGAGAAGACAACAGACAGGAGAAGCCCAGCGTTCAGCCTAATCACCAGCCCTGCCTCGCTGTCCTGGGATGGCTGCAAGGGACAGCCCACAGATGTGACACTCAGATCCATGCTTTCACAGCAGAACAACCCCCCATGCACGGTGCCCTGTCCCCAAGGAAGATTAGTAGAACCAGCTCCCCCAACTTCCCCCCAAAAGGAGCTAGTTGTCTGGCGAGAAGCAAGGGGGGAAAAACCCAGTCATGCGCCATTGTTGTTAAAAATGAAGAGCGCAGTCAGGCTCGAGGCAAGAGATACGCAAGGAAAGTTGTATTGCGAGAGATTCAGTAGGGCTCCAAGTACGACATGCGTGCAACCTGGCTCTAGACAGATCTCAAGGACTCAATGGGAGGAAAACCTGCAACGTGGACACCATGAATTGGGAAAAGAAAGAAAGAAAGACAGGAAGGAAGAAGGCTAAAAATGTATTATTGTGGGTCATCAAGCTCGTCACAAGCTTCAGATTTGGACTTTGCCTTCTGGATGGCCCAGCAAGGCTTTTTTTAAAAAAAGAAAAAAGGAGAAATATGCAGCCAATATCACTAGTTTGTCAACAACACAATTCAGGTTTTTGACCGGTGACTTGGGTCTACAAGCCTTTGAGTTCTGATCACATGACCACGGGGATGGCTGCAACGGTCGTAGGTGGGAAAAACGCTCATATGAATTTTTCAACGGTCACGAAATGAACTGTTGTTAAGTCAAAGAGTCCTTGTATTTCACCTCACTGAAGCGTCTGGATGCTGTGGCCATTGTCCCCCAGGACATAACTCAGGACTCTGGCACAACCCGCTCATCATATACACTGTAATGAAAGGGGAGGCCTTGTGAAGAGGGGAAGCCCAAAATTCATTGACCCCGTCACGCCTCGCTCTCAGCAGATAAAGGCTTGGCCAATGTCCTCTGGAAACCTAGGCCCCTTTGCAAGCATCCTAGACTGAAGCCCCAATGGACAAAGCCCAGCTGACCCCCTGAGGCAGAGCTCCTGGTCTCCTCCTCCTCCCTCCTACCTGCAGGACGTAACCTTCTCGAGCACTTTGTTCACGTCCCAAAGCTACTTTGAGCTGGTCTTGTAGGACACGGTTCTGTTCCAAGAGCTCCGAAGCTGCCTTTTGACTCTGTTCCAGCTGAAAGTGCAACAGGGAAGGTGTTAAACAAGGATGGGGAGGGACCCAAAGATCAGCAAGTCTAGACCGTGGTTGGAGTCTGTATTTTCAATAAGGAAAACCAACTTGGTCGGACGGCTGCCTGACCCAAGAGCTTCCAACTTGAACTACAGTTAACATGTTCCAAGATGGGAAGTGGGAAGCACCAGGTCTTCTTGATCTCTTCACAACTGACCATGAGTAGTGACTTTGCCACTAGGGTTTCCAGTGGTCCGTCCTTCCTTCCCTCATTCATTCATTCATTCATTCATTCATTCAATTCTCCTTCCTTCCTACCCTCCAGTTTTCCTTCCTTCCCTCCCTTCAGTTTTTCTTTTTTCCTTCCTCCCCCCTCCTTCCTTCCTTCCTTCCTTCCCTCCCCCACATTACCTCCTTTTCCAGCAGCACAGTCAGATGCTGCTTATGGAGTATCTCGCCATTCTCCTCCGGCTGAGGAAGATGAAGCGGGGCAATGGGGATCTGTTTCTCCTCCCGCAGAGGAGTGGTCTCCACCTGATGCCACCTCTGCTCAATCTCCACATGGACACTTTGAGACTTGGCCTCCATAGCGGCAGGCAAGCCCGAAAGCCTATCCACCTCCATCCTGGAGAAGTCTTCTGGGCTTCCTCCATCAGTAGCATCCAGATGTTCAAAGCGCTTCCTTCTTTCCTCTCTTCGGCGGGCACGTTCTCGCTCCAGTTCCCCGGGATCCGTTTCCGAGGGGCCGGGTTCCTTGGGGAATGGAGCGGAGGTGTCCTTCAGAGTCTCTGCCAAGTTGGCTCTCTCCTGAGCCAGGACTTGCTGGATGGGGCGGAATTCAGCCCAGTCAAAGGTTTTGGAGCGACCTTCTCTTCGGCGTTCCCTGGCTCGACTGCGCTTGTATTCGGGGTCAATCTCGGCCTGCTCCATCTCCTGCTTCTCGCTTGGCTTGGGACAAGTCTCAAAGGAGGTGCCATTTTTGCTCTTCTCCTCGGGCAGGGAGCTGGTAAGAGGGGATTCGAGAGGAGAAGAGAAGAGAAGAGAAGTTAGACACAGACCCAACTTTTCATCCCTATGTTCTTCTCCGATTGCTCCAGGAAGACACCATCAGAGGCCAAAACTACTGGAGGCATGGAATTTGAGTAGAAACCGAGTTATTCTGACATCATATTCAAGATAATGTCTATTTTTTGGCTTAAGAAACCCAGAACAGTGTTGACAATGTAAAGATCTGGCTGATTAACCTTCCGACTGATACAGAGTCGGGAGCCTTTCCTGTCCCTATAATACAATTCATGATTGTACAAAGTTTCCATTCTTCTTCCCATTCTGCAAGATGCAAACTTCGAACATTCAACCAGTCCTGGTCACACCCGTTTCACCTTTGCATCGAAATCGGCTTAAGGCGACTTTGTAAAATTACCTGATGTTTGGAGCCAGATTTTTTTTTTTTTAAAGTAATAATGCTAAACACAGAACAGACACAAAACAAAGATTTATCTTCGAATGAACAGAAAAGATCACAAAAGCTAAAACAATCTAAAATGTCCTGCGCAAAGTGCTATTGTGTGTTTGGAAACCTGCTTCTGCTTTTTGTGATGGACACCCTATTTTAGCTTCTGTTGGCCTCTCTCCTTTTTCATGTTCCCTGCTCTTCACAAATGTTCCTTAACTATTTTCTCCTCCATTTCTCCCGAAAAGAGCGAGATTTATGCTCATAACAAAGCTGTTGTGAGTTTCAGCATCATTATTCACCAGCATTACAATGAAGACATTCATGAAATCCTTTTTTTCTTTTTGCTGAGCAGGTCAAGAAGAGGCCAGTTTTCCCCAAGAAGACCTTCCCTTGAGACCAGGGCAAGAATTTTCCGTTTCCATTACACCCCACAGAAGAATTGAAGGTCCTCTCCCTCTAGCTGACTTCAGTTGCTAATAACAGAAGCATGACTTAAAGCACCGAGCGGCATCATAAAAGCATCCTAGGAAATAAAATTGAGGGCTGATTGCAATGTTTTATCCCTGTCACGAAAGAAGACGTCTACCAATAACGGAGCATATTTGTAGCTCAGGGCTGAAATGAGGGGTCCTTGATGCTCTCTGAGCTTGGTGGCTTTTTTGCAGACATTTCATGACCCAACTGGGGAACATCATCAGTGTTAGACGGGAGTGGGTTTTTGCTCTCAGTTTATATTCTAGTGGCTTGGTCTGGGTTGGCCTTAAAAGGTTTTATTTTGGTTGAAATGTTTATTGTTGGCTAGTTTGGCAGTTCCTTGATTGGTGAATTTTTACTTGATTGTTGGTTTGATGTTAATTGTGATGTTCATGTATGTTCATGGGGAGGTGGAGGGGGGAGACCCAAACTTCTCCCAATCAGCAATCAGCACCCAAATGAGCATAAATTAACTTCAAGATAAACATCAGACCAACAATCAAGTAAACAATGCTCCAATCAAAGAACAAATCAACCATAAACATCCCAATCAAAAAACCTTTAAGACCAGCCCCACCAACACTGACAGGGCAAGCCACTAGAACATAAACTGAGAGTAAGTCCCACTCCTTACTAGCCCTGAGGATGTTACCTAGTTTGGCAATGAAATATCTGCAAGAAAACAACCAAGCTCAGAGGGCCCCTCAGAAAACATCTAGGAAAATGGGACTCTGTTAAGATATTTAATTTAATCTAGGAAAATGGGACTCTGTTATATTATTTAATGTTAAGATATGTCTGTTAAGATATTTGATTGCTGGAGAAATGAGGGATTGGACAATAGAGTAAGAACACACAGCTGTAGCTGATTGGTTGAAGAAAGTTGGCCACTGCATGAGGCAATGAAAGCTGTGATTGGTTGCTGTGAGTGTAAAGGGGGAGTTTCCTTGTTTCCCGCCTTTTTCTTCTGTGCGCTCTGTGATTTACCTCACGATGTTCTTGCCGAGTAAATTTACCTGACGATGTTCCTTTTTGCCTATCTTATTTAAATATACTTATTTATATAACACTACAAGTTCGTGCCACCATCTCTGACTCCATTTGGACACCTGCTGCGCAATTCCCTGACAGACTCCCATTCTGTATTTTTACAAATTTCCCCCTTTCTCGACATTTGCTTTCAACCAGGAAATCTCCACTGCACCAAGAACATCCTTCAAGGACAAACTAGATATATTATCCTACAGAGATACAAGCGGCTCAGATTTTGTATTGTTCCTCTCCTCTCCAAAAAGCTTGTGTGTGTGTGTGTGTGTGTGTGTGTGTGTGCATCAAATAGCTTTTTAGTGCATTTCTTCCCAGGCTTCCATTTAGCAGTGAAAGGGAAGGGGGGTGGCTACAACATGGCTCCTTCTCCAAGACAAGGACCAGCACAGGACCTAATGCAAGCCGGTGCTCACATCAAGGGAAGCTGCGGTGCTCACTGCCGAGGTGGACGTCCAAACGGAAGGGGAGCGAGACAGACAGGCAAAAACAGGCAAGGGGAAAAAGTTTGGAGGATGCTGGAAACGAAATCTTGTCACACAATGGAAACATGCCAGCCTCCAGCGTGCACATTTGCAGGGTGGACTTAAAATTAAAATAACGTAATAATTTAACTCTAGGGCTGCATTCCCCTAACTTAGCCATGGACTGCTTTTACTATCCCTACTAGCTTGAAAAGATGAGCAAGCTAGAAAAAATATATATGTTGCTTTCTTTTCAGGATGAGCCCAGTGTCTGGCTATCGGTTGTAGTTTCTGAAGATCGTGGAAAACGCTCACCAGTGGGAGTGGATAGATCTACCATATAGGAAGAAGATCTTGCTAACTTTTAGGAAAATCTTTTTTTGGTTGGCTATCTTTTCCCAACCACTCCTTAAAATGGCAGGGAAGGCTTGAATGAATGGACGACTTATCCCATTTTCTTTAAAATCAACAAACTTTATTTGGCTCTCTAAGATGAGCCATCAACATCTAGCCATCAACGTGGAAGCTTCTTAAAATCTGTTTTATGGCATTGACTCTAGGAATTATCTAATCTCCGTGTAGAAAAAGGTTTCTGGCACACCAGTTGCAAATGCAAAAGAATCAAGCTAGTTATTTTTATCATCACCTATTGACGTTTGATTGGGATTGAAACTTGAGAAGTTGGCAATGGTAGCCCAACTCATGTCAAAGTAGATTTAGTTCTACAGACAGCAGTTACAATCAAATGCAAATTTCCTTCATGAAGAAGAATTACATGTTGATTTTCAACATTAATAGAGCAGAAAAATATGGGAACAGACCACCAAGTTGGTGGGGAATGTCAGAATGACTCATTGGGGTTGACTTGTGTAGATTCTCCATGTCATCTTTTCAAGGCATGGTCTCAAAGGATTATACTCTGGAATTACTCTCTTCGTTTGTCTATTTATTTTCAGCACCCAAGGATATCTTTCCTCTGCAAAAACTATTCAAATTACCTGATATATCAATGTATACTTAATTTTAATATTTCTTTCTTAGGATGCAAAGGAAAGTCTGGCTTCATTCTCAGGCAGATTGCTAGAAGACCCCTGACTGCTTTTCTGGAGCCTACCTTTTGCCCAATTCAGTCTTCCTCATCTGCACAACAATGACTCAATCTAAATCCTGGGACAAAACTATCCAACGTTTACAAAATACTGACCCTACCCTCACTCAAACTGATGGTGTTCCATAGTTGGGACTATGACAATGAAATTATCTCCAAGTAGATAATCAAGCTCAGAGAGCAGCAAGGATTCCCGAATTCAACCATACACTCATAGATTCTCTTCTGATGGTACTTCATTTTCACATGACCCCTGTGCCAGGAAGTAATTTCAGATATGCCTAGTGATGGGATTTGAGTATCTGGCTTAAAAAAATTAGTGGTATGGCTAGAGGTTCCTCTATTCATGTACCCACTTTGTAATTTAGAGAACAAAGAAGCATTTGTTTACTACTCTGGTTGGGGAAATCTCTGGTTGTACGGATACCTACTGAGCAAAGAAATGTTGCAAAAGATCCTACAAACTCTTACTAAAAAACTTCTGACCTATTTGAAGTTCTGGCTCTAGGATCAGCTGCATTTCCAAGAAGGCCTGCTTGGCAAGGCCAGTAAGTGACACCATGTAAAGCAAATTCCGCAACAAAATCCCGCCATCCTCACTTCCCTCCTTCCTCCTTGGTTGTCGGAGCAAAATAAGCAGGAATTTCTAATCCAGACAAGTGCAGCAAAGAAAGAGGAACATGCAGTGGATCACGAAGTATACAAACCACAAAACGTTAATACAGGAGAGAACACAGTTTTCCAACCTTGGCTTCAGCACGGATAACTTCAAAGAGAAGCTTTTCCTACGAGTGCGTGGAAATTAAACATATGAAGGAGTGAGGCAAGAGCGACTGGGAGGAGAGGGGGAGAGAAGCGTGGAAAGACAGAATGGAGGATGGACAGAGAAGAAGGAAAGCAATTCTGGGCTGAGCTGGCTGCTCCCAGGTCCTTATGTCTGTTCACACACCACGTTAAACCAGGGTTTCTTAACCCTGACAATTTTAAGACATGTGAACTCCCAGAATTCCTCAGCCACTATACTTGAAGATGGTGGACTTCAACTCCCAGAATTTCTCAGACAGCGTACACATCTTAAAGTTCCAAAGTTGAGAAATCCTTCTTTAAAGCAACATGCCATGCTTTGCAACTACATCATAGATACACTACTCGCTGTGGTGCTTACTCTTCCTTTTACACAAGCAAGTAACAAAATAGAAAAGGAAGATCTTGCTACCACATTTGAAGCCAGACGAAGCCCTGTCAAACCAAGGGTTTTAACTTGAGAGGGGTTTAATTTTCTTGAAGGACCTCCAGGTTGGATCTACTGTAGATCAAGCAAGGTAGGACCTACTGTAGAGTCATGCTTAGTGACAACATATACTCTTTATCTAAGGGGAAGGAAAGGTCCTAACTGGAAGATGATGCACCTTAACTGCAAATTAACATTCATGCAAGAACTACCCTGAAGTTGAAACTGCCTGAAGTGCGGTTAATTACATTTATGTTTGGTGCACTAAAGCTCACTCATGTGAAAAGCAACTAGGTTGATATGGTGCCCTGAGCTCTATAACTGAACAAGTGTTCAAATCAAGGTTCCTCTTAGTTCCTCCAACTTAGCTTCTCCCATCGCTCCACATGTTTAAAAAGAGGTGGAAAGATAAATCAGTCAACAAGGGGGTCCTTACTAAACTGTGCAAAAATCAAACTCTAGAAAACCAGTCTCAGAAAATAATTTTCAGAAAGTGGAGGAGAGAGAAATCAGAAGTAAATGGTTTTGTGGAGAAGTGTGATGAAGATAGTCAGGAAAGAAGACCAAACGTTCTTATTTCTCATGTTTTTTTTACCTGGTCACATCTGGAGCGACTGTGGGACGAACATGTTTCATAATTGTTTGGATCCAGTTCCGGCGGATTCCAGATGTCATAGCAGAAAGAATAAATTTGCCTTCTTTAGTCTAGGAAAGAAGAGAAAGAAGTGATGGTTGAGCCTCTCTCTAGGACAGATGTTTCTGGGAGGAATTTTCTGGGAGGAATCTCCTGCTGGGGCTTTCCACCTTTCTAAGGTAGCTTCTCAAGTGAGTTTTCAGAAGAAGTAACAGAAAGAACGGGTTCTTTTCTGGTTCTGCTTTCCAAGAAATATTCACTCAACTTCAGATAGTAGCAGACCATATATTGAATGGTTCTCCAGATGGATCATTGGTGGTCGAAGGGATTTGGACCATTAAGAGGATTTTCCCTCTTAACCTTAGGACACTTTGTGAAGGAGGTGGGACCTTCACAGCCTGAGGAACTTACAATCATCTATAAATTGGGTCTCATAACAAAAACTGCAACAAAGAAAACCAACTCAGCCCCATTAATTAATTTACAGGACTTATACGGCCACCTATCTCATCATCTATAATCCCTTTGTACAAGGGATGGGCTCAAGATCCTTATTTAGAAGATGTCTACCATTTCTATGTATAGTCTGACCATGTCTTACATGAATCTGGAAACCATAGTTTCGCTGGACGGAGTATTCCGTGACATCAAAACACGTTGACAAGTCAATTTCCCCATCCAAATCGGCTGCCTGAGAAAAAGAGAAGAAATGCATAAGAGGACAACGTATAGGTCAATGGTGAAAAAGGTATAATAATAACTTATTTCTTTATACAGCATTGTCACAAAATGTAAGATGGAATCCTCTCTGCCTGAAGAATCAAACTGGAGTCTAAGGAGGTTGTGGGAGAGAAAGAAACAGAGGTGGTGTGAACATCCAAAAGTGTCCACCAAGGTCTAGTTTTTGGTCTCTGCCTCAACCTACCTCCTCTGCCACTGAATCCCGGTAGTATCTCAGGCTCTGATCTGTCAGCACAAACCAGTGCTTCTTCCACTACAAAAGAAACAAGACAAGCCATTTTATAGACATGGGAAAACTGGTTTCTTAAAGAAGTAGGTAGGGATGGGTGAGTGGGATCATTATACTGGGCAGAATTCTGCCAACGTTATGCTAAGACTGGGAGAAATCTGTATCCAACCTAGGCAGACATAGCTCCAAGTTAGAAAATTTAGATCAGTTTTCAAGGTTTACTATCTCCAAGGTGAAACACCATCTACTGTGGTTTTACCCAGGAAAACAGCACCCCAAAACTTACCTGCCCATCTTCATCCTGTTTTGTCAGCCATCCCTTTTTGAAGTTCAGCAAATCCGGCTACAAAGGACAGAAGAGAATTTAGCATCATATCTCAACTGAGATTACATATAATATATAAAAGAAATCCTGCTTTTTCTGAAGAATTCGGCTTCCTTCTTTGAACGCAACCTTCCTTCAAGAAAGGGGCCATCTTTTACTCAAGGTAGTCAACTCATAACTGGAGGCTAAAGCAGATAAAGAATGGTTGCTGGAACCGGGTATGTATAGTTCAATGAAAGGAAGGACCAGGAGTGACACGATAGCAGGGTTCCAGTATTTGAAAGGCTGCCACAAAGAGGTGGGTGTAGGTGGACCTACTCTCCAAAACACCTGAATGCAGGACAAGAAGCAACGGATGGAAACTAAGTAAGGAGAGATCTCACCTAGAACTAGGGAGAAATTTCCTGACAATTAGAGCAACTGATCAGTGGAACAACTTGCCTCCAGAAGTTGTGGGTGCTTCATCACTGGAGGTTTATAAGAAGAGACTGGACAACCATTTGTCTGAAATGGTGTAGGGTTTCTTGCCTGAGCAGGGGGTTGGACTAGAAGACCTCCAAGGGTCCCTTCTCACTCTGTTATTCTGTTATTCAGAATCCCCCAATTGTTGAACTTACAGTCATGGAGGATTCTGTAGACCTTCGGTCCAGCGATTTCGCTCTCCGATGTGGAGACATAGTAGAAGTTGACACATCCACGATGGTCCCGCTTGCTGTTTCAGCAAGCAAATCCTGCAGGAAATATGAATGTTTCATGGTCATCAGATTTAGAAATGCAATTTTGATTAATAATGAAGATACGCTCAAGGGGTCAACTGTGATCTCTCATACTTCAAGGACACCAGTTACGTTCTTATTCTGGACAGGAATTCTCCAAGGAATTGGTAGTGATAGATTGTCACGGTCATTGTCCTGCTGGCTGGGGAATTCTGGAATTTGAACTCCATGCCTCTTAAAGTTGCAAAGGTTGAGAAACACTATAAATCTCACCCTTCATACCAAGAACATGAAATTACTGCTGACTCACCTGTTTCCTAGGGAAAACCCTTTTTTCGCTCCTGCCCTGCCGAGTTTCGCTGGAGAGACCGGAGGAAGCATTGATTTCCATGTGTTCTGGATTCTCAATGTCCAATGCTTCAAATTTTTCAATTACTTGGGACCTCCTGAGAGACAGGGAAGAGAGAAGGGATGGGCATTTTAATAAAAGGGAAAGAGAGGCCACCCTTGAAAGTCAGAACAACCTCAGCCCTCCCTCTTATCCAGACAACACATTCAACATATTGACATAATGATGCTTTCCTCTGCTATATTTCTATCCTGTCCTATTGCACAGACTCCGTTTCATTCAGCAGGAAGCATGGAGCATTTGGATTTTTAAAGCTTGCAAATATGTTATCCCTCCGCCTCCTTTTAAAGGCACAATTGTGTGACAGTGTGATCTTTTGGTGAAGCACAGGGATCACATCATCAAAAACTTCCCCAGAAAATGGGATCAACAGCATGATCTCTTTGAGTTTTCTTGCAGATTTAAGGCAGCAAGCTCAAATCTATAACTCATTCTGTGAATTTATGGCATGAATCCCATTACAGAGCAGCTGCTTAATGAAAATAATTCAGTGCTAAGCTTCACTAGTCAAGAGTTACACTTTAATATTTAGAGAGAGAAAAACGCTTAACAAAGTCGTACATAGTCTTGGTTTGCCTATGAACCAACATCAACATTGGTCCACCTGGACTTTAAACATGGAAGAGAAAGAAAAGAGCTAAAACCAAATCGGTTTCAAGCTCTGCATCCCCAAAACAGAGAAGGGCATTTTAAAAATCCCATTGGAAGTTCAAATCCAGGTAGCCCATGGAGAGGTCTGTTGTCAAACGAGGACTTCTGTTCTGGTTTAGTTCTATCAAGCTGCCCAAAGTCACCTTGTAGGGATGACAGGCAGCATAGTAAAAAATAAAATAATAAAACGAAGAGAAGAGAAATGAAATAATAAAGCGAAGTGAAATAAAGTAATAAAGTGAAGTGAAGTAACGTAAAGTAACAAAGTAATAAGTTAAAATAAATTAATATAAAATAAAATAACTATAAAATAAAAGTTACATTTAGCACAGGGAACAGCATCTGTGCCCCAGCATATATAAGAAACCATCAGTTTAAGAGTCTCTGGATTGGGAAGGTGCTCTATTCATTTTCACACGGCTGCCTAATAAAGCTAAACCTGTTGAACTACAAGTGTCTTCCAAACCCTGGAGGCTGGGCGCAGCTTCCCTTCAAGGCAGAATCCAAGTCACCACATGCCACATGCAAACAGGAAAAGCACTAAGCGCACCCCCACCAAGATGCCTCCGGCAGTGAGAGCCCCCAGCACCCATGGCCCTTGACCAGAGAAGGCAAAATCATCATCATCATCACCCTAATTAAAACACCCTTCGGGACCCCTGCCCAAACCGTCTGCCCTCGAACCCTCGTCGTGATTTAATAACCGGCGGCCATCGCTTGGCTTCCTTGCCAAGACCCATCTTGGCTTCTCCTTTTGGGGAAGGGAACATTCTCGGCCACCATTTCCCATCTGGCTCAGCCCACGGGTCTGCTTTCTTTCCAAGCCAACCCTCACCCCAGCCCACCAAAAAAATAAAAATAAAATAAAAAGCAGCTTGATTGTCATGAAAAGGGAAGGGCACCATCAAGTTGTCTACAGCTTGAGAAATTTTTTTTTGAGATGAGATGGGAGCGAAGCAGCGGAGCACAAGTTATCACACAGCAGAGGGAGGTGAAGAACAGAAGACCTGCAAGAAAATAAAAGCTGGACAATGAATGAACCAAAAAAAGTTATCCCCCCCTCCTCCCCTTGCCCTCCCCCCCCCCGCCCCACAAATCAGAGGCATTAAAAAAGGAAAACCAAGACCAAAGTGCAAAATCATCCACACCATCAATAGACGTGATCATTGGAAACGGCAGGTTGTGATTCCTTCTGTGAGTAGCAGGAGGTATCAAGGGAAGGACAGTGGCAAGAATAACAGAGATGGAAGGGGGCCTTGGAGGTCTTCTAGCCCCACCCCCTGCTCAATCAGGAGACCATTCCAGACAAGTGACTCTCCAATCTCATCTTACAAACCTCCTGTGTTTTGAGTACCCACAACTCCTGGAGGGAACCTGTGCTACTGATCAAGTTACAATTTTAGTTCGGAAGCAAAACAGTTGTTTGGGTAGGTGGAAGTGATAAGATGCTGTTGTTTCTCTTTGATGTTAGTTTGCAGCAATGAGCCGTGCTCTAAAAATTTAAGACTTGTGGACTTCAACTCCCAGAATTCCATGCTGGCTGGGGAATTCTGGGAGTTGAAGTTTCCCAGGTTAGATACCCTATTGACAAAGTGTACACTACTATTACTGTTAATCTTCTCATCCTTATCACCCATCCCCTCCCACTTGTGATTGTAGGACTGTAACTTTGTTGCTTGTATCCGTACGATTTATATTGACTGTTTCCTAGTATGATTTGATTGTTGTTTGTACCCTCTGACTATCATTAAGTGTTGTACGTTATGATTCTTGATTCTTAACGAATGTACCTTTTCTTTATATATACTGAGAGTATTTACACCAAGACAAATTCCTTGTGTGTCCAATCACACTTGGCCAATGAAGTATTCTATTCTATTCTATATTGCTCTAAAATGATTAAGGTAGCTCAGTGAAAGGAGGAGTTAAGAACCGGAAAGGAAAAATCATGATTAAAAACAATTTGCTCTCCATTGTCAATGTTTCCTTTCTTTGATCTGTTACGAAGCAGGAAGATGGAAATGAGGATGGAAAATCAACAGGAGATCAAAGGGATGTTTTTATGCAAACTCCATTCTGAGAGAAGTGTTCAATGCCACCTAGAGTTATTTTTTTCATGAGATGGGCGGACGTATAAATTTGATGAATAATGAATGAATGGGTGGAATGCATGAATAAATATACAAAGACTCAATTACCACAAATGAAAAAAAAATGTTTGTTAATAGCATGCTTTAGTTTCAGTGGTGGAAGTATGCTGGGACCAGGAGTTATGTACAATCTTACTGATGGAATTTCTCTGTCTGGTTTTGTATTTTCAACACACCCATTCTCCCTGCGTGACCACAAGGCTAACAAGGAAGATTTTTACAACATATAGTAGGCAGTTCTCGACTTACGACAGTAATTGAGCCTGGAATTTCCATTCTAAATCATGCCAGTCGTTAAGAGGGTCACCACATGACTGTGTCCAATCTTACGACCATATCGGTAGCGGTTGTAACTTTGAATGGTTGGTTAAACTGAAAATTACTTGTACCGACCGGTCAATGAAAACTAGAAGTATGTCCATAATTGGCTGCAACAACCACACAAGCCTTGTGGTTGAAGACAAGTTTTTACACTCAGCTGTGATGGTCAAACTCTCCACGCAGAACAGGCAGTCCTCAACTTAGGACTGATAGAGCCTGGAATTTCCATCATAGTCATGAAGGTCATAAGCTGAGGCACCCACATGACTGGGCCCTCACCTGTAAAGGTGAGCCAGTTGCAAAGCACTCGGAACGAGGTCATGGAGCCATCAGAACTCTGGAACTGGCTTATAAGTAGCTTCTTAGGGGTCTGTTGTAACTTCTAAGTGGCCGTTAAGCAAGGGTTAGCTGTATTTGGGGTTTCAAGATGTTTGATTCATGCACAGAGGTGCAAAATGCCACAGGTTAATTCATGAATTAAAGAATGTTGGGCAAACCCTTCCACAAAACCTGTAAGTTCTCTCCAAAGCCTAGAAAGTCAGGAGTCTTTTTGGAGGCTACCAAAGTGTGAAATTAAATGAACAATTGAGTGTTTTTATGTCCCAGAATTAGAAAAAAAATTTTTTGCTAAAAAGAAATGTTTTGGGGATGGTCACAGCTGCCGTGGACTATCCTTTTGGTCTAATCTTTTTCATCCTGGGGAATCTGGGATTTGCTCCTACTTAAACCGGATTCAATCTAGTTTCACAGACACAAATAAACCCCTAATCAACGTTTTGAGGACTCGGTTAGGCAAATGGTTAAAGGAATTCCCAGCCTCATCGTAAAAATGCTTTTCCCAGGGTTTTACGAAACCCTCGCGCGTAAATGTAAATACGTCCAGTACATCTCCAGCATCATAGCTGATCTATACTTCAAGCTACAATCCAAATATTTTTAAATGTTTCACAGGGCACAAGTCTTGAGCAACTGCTTTTCAAGAAGGGAGACACGCTTGTTTACAGTATACTCAAGTGGTGGAATTTCAAATCCGTCGTGGACTGTGTATGACTGGGAATCCCGGCCAAGGGCTTCAAAATAAATAGTAGCATAGGCTTGAAATTTTGGGCTTGGACAACCTAGAACTACACTACCAACGGTTGGACTTAAGCGTAGTACAGAAAATTATCTGCTACAATGTCCTACCAGTCAATGACTACTTCAGCTTCAACCACAACAATACAAGAGCAACACAACAGATACAAACTCAATGTAAACCGCTCCAAACTCGATTGCAGGAAGACTTCAGCCACAGAGTGTCAACACCTGTAATACACTACCTGACTCTGTAGTCACATGCTCTAACCCACCACTCCTTTAACCTCAAACTATCCACTATTGACCCCATTCCTAAGAGGTCTGTAAGGGGCGTGCGTAAGTGCATCATCGTGCCTATTGTCCCTCTCCTATTGTCCCCATTTATTCGTACCTATTTCCTGTATTCTTACTCATGTTTATACTTATTCCTATTATCTTGTAAGCGATTGACAAATCAAATAAATAAATAAAATAAACTTTTAGAATCCAGCTTTTGACCGGGGTAGAAAACTAAGGAAGACCGATGCAGATAATCCTTGACTTATAACCAATCATTTAGAGATCATTCAAAGTTACGAAGTCATTGAAAAAAGTGACTTAGAATGAGTCCCCACACTTACGACCAAGGTCTGGAGATCATGTGATTGCCATTCGTGTCCTTCCCAGATGTTTCCAACAAGCAAAGACCATTGGGAGGGGAGCTGGGTTTGCTTAATGACCGTATGATTCACTTAACAATGGCAGTGGTTGACTTAACAACCAAGAAGGTTGAAAAAATCAGGCATGACTCTCTTAAAAACCGCCTTGCTTAGCAACGGAAATTGTGGAGCCAATGGCGGGTTGTAAGTCAAGAACCAGCTGTATAAAAATGTAGATTTTTCTAAGCTTCCATCCTTGAGGAAACACTTTAACTCTGCAATGGAAGCTGAAACACATTTCGGCTCACGTGGCAGCAAAGTTAGCTGCAGCTCCAGATAATCTAACATCTCTTCAACCAGGAGGCCAACTTTTGCAAAACCTTTTTGCTATTAATAGTCCTGGGCAAGGCACCCTTATTAAATTGCTTAAAAGGTCTTGTTTCTCTGGCCTTTAAAACACACACACACACACACATAAACACACACACACACACACACACAGTTGGAAAACTGCAGTTTTGGGTCCCGCTTCATCCCTGATGGCCTGGAATAAACTGGTAGACTGAAAAGAGTTCAGGACAGGAACAAAGAATGAGAGTGACAAGAAAGGGTGTGGATCCATTGGATTTTGTGAATATCGTTGGAAGATCCATTGGAATTAAAAATTTTGAGATCAAGATGATCTCAACGGGTGGATCTGTCTGAAATGCTACAGGGTTTCCTGCCTGAGCAAGGGTGGGTTGGACTATAAGACCTCCAAGGCCCCTTTCCAGCTCTCTTATTCTGTATTCTACTTCAACTTGGACATCAGGTGCCCTTCAGAATCTAGGATTATAGGGAAACCAGGCGTGCCAATGCTGGTTACAGAGCTTGCTTTGTTCCCAGACAACGAACTCCACTCAAGGATGGACAAGAATGTTAATGAAGCAATCAGAGAAATGAGTTAACTAAAGCAGCCCAAAGCAACGGATGGAGACTGGCAGAAAGGCAGGAAAATGTTCATTTAATAGCAGGGGGTTTATTTATGCAGCGGGGCAACAAAGGTGTGTCTGAAGCCCCCCTGGAGGCTACAAACAAGCTTCATCAACCATCAGGAACCCCTGAAAGCAAGCTGGTGAGGGGCGGAATCTCTTTCATAGCCTGTTTGCGGGCTTCTTGCTAGCCAATTCTGGAAAAAAAGAACAAGAACTGTTCTTGAGTTGGTGAGAGCGACATCTGCTACGAGCAAGCAAGAACTGGTGGAGGTTTAGAAAGAAAAACTGGAGAAAAATTCTTTTTTATCTCTTGGGAAGCCATATGCTCACAAGCCTCCAATCTGCATATTCTGCCTCCTTTTCTTATGAATTCCTATGAATATACAACAAAACCTCTGAAGGGGAATTCCACACATCAGGTGCCAGGCACTTATTACCTCAAATGTGCATGGCAACTTCCTTCCTGCAGCAGGTTTCTAGGCCTCATGAAGGCAAGCCCATAATGCATACCTGTGGTAGCAGCGCATTGTGTTTTAGAAACCAGGACAAGGGTCAGAATAACGAAAGGGGGCTTTTAGTGACCCAGGGAAAGATCTGGATGCCTGTGACAGAATTGTGTTTTATTCCCTGTGGAATATTTTGCTAATAATCACCCAGTATTACTATTCCTCAATTAGCTGACAAACAAATTTAAAACAAACAGGATGAAATTTAAAAATGGCTAAAGTGGGCAAACAGAATAAAGTGTCTTACTTTGCTTTCGGATCCAGTTTTTTGTGTGTGCAAAATGTGCAGGGCTGGATGCAACCCGTAGCACAGAATCAGGGGTGGGATTCAACTTTTTAAACAACCGGTTCTGTGGGCATGGGTAGGTGGGCGTGGCCATGTGACTGGGTGGGTGTTGCTTCTTTGTTCAAGCACCTCCCCCCCCCGCACCTCAGAGGAGCCCCGTGGGGGCAGTTTTTGCTCCCAGAAGGCTTCCCTGGGGCCCAGGAAGGCCAAAAAAGGAGCCGGGGGTAGTGCACAGCACCCTCCCCACCCTCCGTTTTTGGGCCTTCTGGGCCTCAGGGAAGCCTCCTGGGTGAAGCAGTAAGAAAGCAAGGGGAATCCCGGCACTCCTTAAGGTATTTCTTCCGCCCCCGACAATCAGCTGTTCTGACGATCAGCTGTTCTGACGATCAGCTGATCGTTGGGAGGGGAAAAATACCTTAAGGAGTGACTGGACGGGGGAGAATGCAGTCGGCAATGTCACGCATGCACGATAAGGACTGATTGAGCGGGGAGGGGAGGGCAGAGAGAGGCGGGGCCAACCAGGAGCACGATTGGGCGGTTTTTCAAACTGCGCAGAATCTGAACAACCGGTTCTATAAAACCGTTTCGAACTGGTAGAATCCCACCCCTGCACAGAATTGATTCCAAAGCAGGTCAATAATTAAACTTCAATACCTTCCCCTACTCCAAATCCGTCCCTCCCCCCAATTGTCTGTATCCCTCCTTGCCCATCTTGTCCCCTTAATTTTATCCGTTCATGCTTTTATCTGCTGTGTTTTTATAAGGATTATTTTAATGTTTTTCTCCCCAGTGTTTTTTATGTTCTCAGCCGCCCAGATACAAGATCAGCAGGAAATAAATTTTATAAATAAAGAAATAAACTTTGCCCTACATGGCTCATTTCCAAAAAAACGGAGGCTGAGTCTGTCCTAAACAGGTGTCCCGTGCCTGGCTTCCTTTTTTTTGGGGGGGGGGGGACTGTTTTCGTACAGGTGCTTGCTAGGGAGAGCGTCAAAACATTTCCGAATGGCAAAACTTTCTTGGTTCGTAAAAAAGCAAAGGCAGATGGATTGTTTGGTCCCCAAAAGAGATGCAGGAAGGGGTGGAGTTTTTATTAAGGCAATAAAACCATTTATTGGATGGTTTGAACTCAGGTGCCCAGCAAACATTTTCTGTCTTCCATGAAAGCTTGCAAAAGAGCAATGCGCCAGTATTTTGTGCAAGCTGTTTAAGATTAGGTGGAACAGCGGGGCAAAGCAGAAGTCATGCTAAGCTTTCGCAGGTTTGACCTTCTGGGCCACCGTCCTGTTGGAGGGCCTGTCTGTGCATGCTCCCGTTTCCCTCCCATGATTAAAATCCAGGCCATTGGTGACTGACTCACATTTATGACGGTTATGTCCTGGGATCACGTGATCCCCTTTTGCGACCTTCTGACAAGCAAAGTCATTGGAGAAACCAGATTCGCTTAACCATCGTGTGACCAACTGAACAACGGCAGCGATTCGCTTACCAACGGTGGGAAGAAAGGCCGCAAAACGGGTCAAAAGTCCCTCGACAACTGTCCTGCTTAGCAACCGAAATTTTGGGCTCAGATGTAGTTGTAACTCGAGGACTGCCTGTTGGTGGGTACAAAACCCAATCCAGCCATCCCGTCTTGTTGAGCAAAACCTCCCTTTCCAAAAGACAGTTTTTAATCCTCCGCCAGCCGAAAAGCAATTTCCCAGATTCGGGTCTTACCTCCTCTCATTCCCAAACAGCCGAGCTACCTCTTCTCGCCCAGGACTCCTCGCCCGGGAGCTCCGCTCCAGCCGCTTCCGCTCGACTTGAAAAGCATCGCGGTTACTGATGCGGATCGCCTTGGGCACATCGGCCAGGGTGGAGTATTTGCGGCTGACTTTAAAGGCCATGGGGCCGTTGCGCCTCTCCTCCGTCCTCGCCCCGTTGCGGCCGCCGGAGTCCTTGTGCTTGCAGAGCCGGAGGCCTCGGACGTCCAGGGAATTGAGAGAGAAGCTGTGCACCATTCGGCCGGCTGGCCAGGTACCTGAAGAAGGGAAGGAATCGCTCGGCTGCTGAGATTTGAGGTCACTGTACCTGTGGTTGGGCGTGCAGGGGCTCGGTGGAGACGGCAGGTTCAGCATCTGGTGTTCCTCTGCTTTGACCTCCTGCTTGGTCTTCTCCAAGGAAAAGTAGCCACTTTCTACCCGCGTCTTCCTCCCGCAGTCGTTGCGGTCACCGTTCATGGCAGCCTCATCTGGAGGACGCGGAAACCATGGAAGAGAAGAGAGGTGAAGCTAAAAGACATTGGACTAAAGTACACACACGGTTGGAAAAAATGTTTAAACAACATCTAGATTTGAAGCCTGAAATATTTTTTGTTAGGAATGGTACCTGAAGATTATAGTAAAGAACAAACATACTTAGTTATACATGTATTAACAGCAGCTAGAATTGTATTTGCTCAAAATTGGAAAAGTGATAAGATAGAGGGAAAAATAATTGAAAAAACATTTGAATGTGCAGAAATGAATAGATTAACGTTAGAAATTAAAGAAAAAGAAGAATCTGAATATTACATGGTATGGGACTTGTTTTATAAATGGCTAGAAAATAAAATTAATTAAAAGGGATTAGACATAATTATAAAGCAGTAAGAGAAATGAGTGTATAGATATACTGAATATTACTTATATATATTGGAATGTGATTGTTATTATTATATGGTTATACTGTTAAGAAGAATATTATTAATAATTGTTAAACACATGAAATATATACCTAATCGACACATGGTTAAAACAGAATGGATTTACTGTATGTTAAAAATAAAAAAATAATAATCCGAAGAGAAAAGAGAAGAGATTGAGAAAGAAGGAGAGAAAGAGAGGGAGGGAGGGAGAACAACGGTTGCAGGATTTGGGTTTGAGAAAAATGATTGCAGGAATTGGGCATATCTAGTCTAATGAAAAGAAGGAATAGGGGTGATGTCAACTAAAAAATACTTCTTTGGTCTTTTTAGTTGCCATCAGAAAAGGAGTGTGGGGGGGAAGCAGTGCATTCCTTAAATGCTTCAGATAATTGCTAGGCAGCCGAAGCTGTTGGCGCACAAGATTATTACTGGAGAGCATGATTGATGACTCTTGGCTATGGATGTGTCCCATTGGAGAATATACATCCTGGGGGTGTACATCCAGAATATACATTTGAATGGGGGTGTATTGTCAGAGTCCTGACAGCTGACAGGATAGCAGTCTTCCAGTGTCTAAGGAGCTGCCCCAAAGAAGAGGGAGTCAAGCTATTCCCCAAAGCCCCTGAAGGCAGGACAAGAAGCAACGGATGGAAACCAATCAAGGAGAGAAGCAACCTGGATTAAGAAGAAACTTCCTGACAACGAGAACATTTAACCAGTGGAATGACTTGGTTTCAGAAGTCATGGATGTTCCATCACTGGAGGCTTTTAAGGAGAGATTGGGCAACCATTTGTCTGAAATGGGATAGGGTGTCCTGTTCGAGAAGGGGCTTGGACTAGAAGACCTCCAGGGTCCCTTCCAGTTCTGCTATTCTATTAACTGGCCTCTCTCCCTTGGGGCATGGGGGGGGGGTGAGGGCATCTTCCTAATTCCTTCAGGGGTGAGAAACGTTGCCTTAGAAGATCCTCCAACGCACGACAAATCTAGAAAAAATTTTTTATAGTGTGGTGACCAAAACTGGATGCAGTACTCTAGGTGTGGTGTTACTAAGGCTTTGTAGAGTGGTCTTAGTACCTCCCTTGATCTCGATTGTATCCCTCTGTTAATACAATTTAGGATTAACGGATCTTCTACCCTAGACCTTTACTCTGGTTTGACAAACGTTCAGGGCTTCTATCCTTACCTTCTTTGCTCTCCAGGAGCGAGTCCTTCAGGGAACAGGCTGGGGGTGCCTGCCCTGGCAGAGGGCCAGGGGCCGAGCCGAGGCCCACATTCCCATCCAACTGGTCTTTGCTTCTCAGTTCTTCTTGCCAAAGGGTGGACTTGGTGGTTGGGATCTTCTCAGCCCCCGGGATGCTGCTGCTGGTCACGGCCATCTTTGCTGGACCAGGCTCCTGCAGAAGAAGACATTGGTGGGCCACCCCAGTTGCAATAGCTTTTGTGTTTTGTGTCTCACACCAGCCCACATAAGCCACACAACATTCATGCTCTCCCAGCATATGTCCACTGCTGAGTCCTAAGTTCTTCTAGGCCCGTGATGGCGAACCTATGGGACGCGTGCCACAGGTGGCACACAGAGCCATTTGTGCGGGCACATGAGGCCCAGCCAAACTTACCTGCACTGCACATGTGTGTGCCTTCCAGCGGATTTTCAGCCTGTTTGAGGCCATTTTCGCCCTCCTGGAGGCTCGAGGGAAGCCTCCACAGCCTTGGGAGACTGAAAAACGGGCCTTCTGGAAATACCCAAAGTGCCGAAACGGACCCATTTTTCAGCCTCCCGAGGCTGCAGAGGCTTTCCTCGAGCCTCCAGAAGGGCGAAAATGGCCTCAAACGGGCCGAAAATTAGCTGGGGAAGTGAGTGCATGCACCGTGGAGGTAAGGGGGCGGGGGTGTTACACACGCATGCACAGCGGGGGCGGGGCACATTGCATTGCAGGTGCCGTCAAGCATACTTTCGGCACACCACAACAAAAAGGTTCACCATCACTGTTCTAGGCCATGTTTGCATGGGTATCAAATATAGACTTCCCGTCTAGCTGTGAGTGTTACTGAGTGCAGGTGGACCTCAAGATACGGCCACAATTGGGACCCGAATTTCAGTTGCCAAGCAAGGCAAGCGATAAGTGAGTCTGACGCCTGATTTTACAACTTTTTTTTTTGCCCTGGTTGTTAAGCAAAACACTTCAGTTATTAACTGGATCACACGGTCGCTAAATAAATCCAACTTCCCCCCATTGACTCTGCTTGTCGGAAGCTGACTGGGGAGGTTGCAACTGGAGATCAGGTGACCCTGGGATGCTGCAACCATCATCAATGTCAGGTTGCCAAGCGCCCAAATCTTGATGACATGGAGGTGCCGCAATAGTCACAAGTAAGGTCATAAGTCACTTTTTTCAGTGTTGTTGTAACTTCGAACAAATGTTTGCAAGTTGAGGATTATAAAGGCCAAAACTGACCCACCGCAACCTTAGGCACTGTGCTTAAAACGAGGGAAGGAATGCACCGAGTTGCATTTTTCATAGCAGCAGCGCAAAACACTCACAACAACGTGCCTCTCCAGGTTCTCTTTTTACACCGTTCAGCATTTACGGGCCCGGTTTTTACCATTCCAGCTACTCCCACAGTCAGCATCGCCTCCACACCCGATACCCGTTGGACCGTTTGAAAAGTGCCTTTCCATTCATCCTGCAGAGACAGCCCCAGGCACTCTGCATTGCAATGAAGGTGCAAATGTTTTCAAAAATTAAATTTGCCACTCTGCACGCAGCATTGAAGCTGGTTTCCAAGAAGGGTTTGCAATTCAAATTAGTTTGGGTGCAAAAACCAAACACGCCTCCTTCTTCCTAAATCAGTATTTTTTTTTCCAACTTGGTAATTTTAAAATACGTGGACTTCCAACTCCCAGAATCCCCCAGCTGACACTTCCCATCTCTCCCTCAGCAATAACTTGGATTGGCAACGTTTAGGTGGGGTGGCCAGAACCATCCTGGTAAATGATGTGGAAAAAGGCTACAATTTAGAAAACAAGGTGGACCCTGAATCTTGGAGACCTCAAGTTGACTTGGGATAAGTGGACAGTTGGTAGTGAAGGTATAGGGACTGTTTGAATTGGGGGTTGGACTAGTAGACCTTCAGGGTCCCTTCCACCTCTGCTATTTTTTTATTCTGATACTTTTTCTGGAAATGTAGTCTTCACAAAGAACGGGCGATATCGCTCCCCTGTTCAAGTCCAACACAAAGCCAGCTGAATTGCAGCTCAAGAAAAGTCAAATCAGTGGACTTCAGGCAGTCTTGCTGAAAATCAGTGCTCCCTTCCGGTTTTTGGCAAAGCTGCACCCACAGCAAACCACTGGCTCGTTGTGTGTTGAGGACTATCTGTAGAAGAAGTAGGAACTAAGTGCCAATCCCGCTCCCCACTTTTATCAGAGTGCCAGAGGGAATCACGCCAGAGGGTGACAGAGGAAGAAGAGTTGCGTATCCTATCTAAGGTGGCTTTTGGAGGTCACGTTGACCAGCTCACCAAGAATAACATCCCATTCTTGAAGAGAAGGTTTTCCTCCAGGACTCAACTCAATTCAACCTCTTCCAACTCTCCTGGATTACTTTTGCCCTCCCGTAGAAAAAAGTGTAACAACACGAAGAGCTGAGAGCAGAAACGGAGAGAGATTGCATAGCGCAAGCTTCCTTTTTTTCCACCCCAGCATTCCTTTTTTGGAAGTAACATAGACCTTCTTCAGGATTTTTCCCTGAGGCACCCAGCAGGCGTGCTCCATCTCCTGCTGCTCCACAAAACTCCACAAGATCACGTGGTTGTGCCGTGTTCTGCCTCCCTGAAACTCACCTCCATCTCCGGAGGCGGTCCATTTGGGGGGGAGGGGGAGAAGAGCCCCCCCTTTTCAGCGTGTCTCTCCCCCACCCCAACCCTACTACCCATATTTGGTGCTTAGAAGCTCAGATCCTGTCAACTTTCCAAGAGGTTGCTGAGGCAACCAAGCATAACCCCAAAAGAGAGAGAGAGAGATAATATTCTGCCAACATTTTTCCCCTTCTCTTTTCTGTTCTGCTTCCAAAAATTAAAAAAAAAAAGGGGGGGGGGAAGGGGAGACTAAAATAGGAAGAGCTCTGAGGGAGGGGCTCACCCCATCTAAGACTGCTCTGCTTCTTGTGTGGGTTGGCTCAGCTGACAGAGTCACAGAGGAACAGGCAAGGGGAATAGCTGCTACCTGGAGTGAATTTTGGGGACCCCTCTCCATCTCACTCCCCCCCCCCCCCCCCATGAAGGACCTCAGGACACTTACACACCCAAGCTATTTCCCTACACTCTAGATTCCATTGCTTGCAGATTCAGCAGATTTTGGACGTTGTATTCAATAAATGCTAAGTATGTTAAATACAATATTGAGTTTTAATGTGGTGCTCTCTGAGGCTTGGTGGTTTTCTTGCAGAAGTTTCATGACCCAACTAGGTAGCACCATCAGGGCTAGAAGGGAGTGTTGGCAAACCTCTCCCACTGAGGATGTTACCTAGTGGTTATGAAACTTATGGCAAATCCTTGATCAAATTCCCCATTCAGGATCTCACAATGCAGATGAAAGGTCCCTTAAGGTGGAGAAATATTCAAACAAGAGTGCAGTCAAGCACAACACACAACTTCCAAATTAATGTAACCTTGTTTTCTCTGTATGGTGGGTTGTTCCCACAATCATCCACAAAGACCTTCGAATTGAACTCCCAAGGATCCCATTCTCTACGATGTTGGGTCAACTGGTTTCACTCGAAGGTTATACAACAGAAGCTTGGGGGAAACCACAGAACTATTCATCACGAAGAGCATCCAATCCTTTTAGTTCGACAAGGAAATATCTGCACAGCTTCTGTCACATGGAGCAGATAATGTTCATGAAATGGCTCGGGATGAGTACCTTGATCAAAGCATCACCCCGTGTGTATCTGGGACCAGCAGTTACGTCCAGAGAAAGTTGGTCAAGATCTTTAACCCTCCAAGATTCTCCTGAACAATTTCCATGTAGGACATTTGCGCAGGAAAGAATGAGTCATACCCTAGATTCTGTGCCTGTGTGTGTGTGTGTGTGTGTGTATGTGTGTGTGTGTTTTACCATTTATAGTCAAAAGAGGGCTAGAAATAAGCTGTCGCCAGATCCCCAGAGGACACATTCAGCCTCCATCTCATCTACCACATCTCGATCGTATCTCCAAGGGCCATCTCTGGTGGAAAAAAACAGAGCGTGAGGCCATGTAACTCCATGTCAGTGATAAGGAATCTTTCCTGGCCTGGAGCTTCAAACAAGGGATTGAAAATCGTCAGTTGATCAGTTAGGAGATGCGCTGCTGAGTGATGTTTATCAACAATCATCGAGCAAACTTTTGTCCTAGGCTGAATGCCTATGGAGATTCTCAGTCCTCCGGGTTACGGTTGTCCCAAGGGTGTTTTTTCAAGAGGCAAATGGACTTTGTTTTTCCTTGAAGGCGTTTTGCTTCCCATCCAAGGAGCTTCTTCAGTTCTGACATTCTGACACTTAGTCAGAACTGAAGAAGCTCCTTGGATGAGAAGCGAAAGGAAAAACAAGGTCCAGTTGCCGCTTGAAAAAGCACCTTTGGGTATCCTGTGTTGACTTCTATTCCACAATAAATGAAACCGGTCAAAGTAGAGAGAGAAAGCAGAGCAGCTTCTGGAAGCTACATGTAAACCGAGTGGGGTTTTCAAAAACTCCATTTAGAGAAAAAGAGGAACTTGAAAAGAAGGGAGGCTGCGTTCCTGTAAACCAGTGGTGGGGAAAATGTCCTAATTTTAGGCATGAGGTGCATCAGAAGCAGGCCAGGTGTGCTCTTATTTTTACCTGTGGCGTTGGGGGCTCCACTTTCCTTTTCTTCTTTTGATTCTGCTTGTTTGTCCTTGGGTAGACCACCAGCATCTCCAACCACCTGAAGGCAAGAAGGCAAGTTGAGAATTGCCCCCGTTGAATCAATGGGGAAGGTGGAAGAGGCAGACAAAGTGAGCAACCCCTCCCCCTTCCTCAACTGATGGAGGCTCCCCTCCCCCTTTAAACACTCTCACTCTTTCTCTCTCTCTCTCTCTCTCTCTCTCTCTCACACACACACACACACACACACACACACACACAATGGGACACCTTGAAGAAATGGATCCCAACACAAGCAAGAAAGAACATGGAAAGAAGAGGAAAAGAAGACACTCTAAAACAATAAAATCAATTCGGGTTGTTCTCCTTCACACCAAGGACCTTCACCTCAATGCTTCATGCTCATTTGGAGGAGAGCAAGTAGAGCAAAAGATGAAATTGGGGAGTGTTGTTGACTGTTGGCCAACCTTTGCACAATTCCCATGCAGCTCACATGTATCACAACTGGGTGGGACAAACCGATGGCTCCCTAGATCTGAATTCCTCCCCACGCATCATCTGGATGGTATTTTCCCAAGGAGCTACAGAACTTCCTCAACTCTTTCTTCTCACAGCTCTGCAAGATGTCAGAACCAGATCCAGCATCCTACGTCTACGAAAGCAAGAGTCCAAAGCTCGCCAGAAAAGCAACTAAGACTGTCCTAAGAGCTGTGGTGGCGCAGTGGTGAGAAGGCAGTATTGCAGGCTACTTCTGCTGACTGCCAACAGTTTGATCCTGACCGGCTCAAGGTTGACTCAGCCTTCCATCCTTCCAAGGTCTGTAAGATGAGGAGCCAGGCTGACTCTGTACGCTGCTTAGAGAGGGCTGTAAAGCTCTGGGAAGCGGTATATAAGTCAGTGCCATTACTATTGCTAATCTTGTTCAACAAGCTCCAAGGACATTCCCAAAGCCGCAAGCGAGCACCAGCCCTTCTCTTCCTGAGGTCAGCAAGCCACCCATCACCCCAGCAGTGACCTAATACGTTCCCCCAAAACAATGTCATCTCTGCTATTGTTTATGCCACTGAACAATCCCAGGTCTTCTTCGGACCACAGAGAACTCAATCACGGGACTCAGCAGGCAAACAACTCTCCAAGGAGTGGACAGGACCCAATTACCAAAAGGTGGCAAAGCAACCCATCAGAGAACCAGCCGATCTGGCTGAGCAGGTTAGATTCAACTCAACACTTGCCCTTCTCTGTTGTCGCCGGAGTTCAGTGTGTGTTTGTACTTCCACTGCATCTTGCATTTATTCCTTTCAGGATTTACAGGTTTTTAGCAGCAAGCAACAACATAAATTAGAGAGTCGCAACGCCACCCTGCCACAATCTCCTTCAGATCTTCGTGTCTGGGCCTGAGACTAGGCACAGGGTTTCCTCTTTGTCTTGACACAGCCTTCTTGACTCCACAGTCTCCTACCCCTGAGACATTCATCTGTATTTTGCTTCTAAGCCAACACGGGTCAGATTCAAACTCACGCTAGAAAACTAAGAATAATCTGCAGTGTCCTGATGCTGTCAGCCAAGGGTGGGCACCCTTGAGGCTGGCAGGATCTATTTGTGATCTGTTTGTGTATTTACCAAAACCAAGGTCTGCCAAGGGAAATTAATCCAAATCTCCTCATCTCTTTAAACAGAAAACATTTATCTGAAGTTGGGCTCCAATTTTAGCCTAGGCAAAGGAAGTGTGCTTCTCCCTTACGTTTTTCTGGAGATCAAGGGCTGGGATAAACGAAGGTAGTCTCCTTGGAGCATTGTGCAACTCCTGGTGAATTCACAAACACACTGGTGTTTGCTCTGGCTACCTTCACAGACCTTTGGGGGACCTCCATGTCTAGCCTGCATCTCCTAAATTTCGAATCATGTCCCTTCCAAATGCTAATCACTTCAATCTTCCTTACATTTCTGAGATCAACCAAAGCTGGCTAGTAAGCAGGTCAAAAAAATTATTTGGTTCCACCGACCTAGACATGGAAGTTCAGGGCAGTTGGGATCTCCTTATTAAACTCTCCTAACCTCTCAATACTACCTACTTTTCAACCCCAGGACATATTGTAGCTCAGGAGGAGGAGGAGGAGGAGGAGGGGGGGAGGAGGAGGAGAAGGAGGAGGAGGAGGAGGAGGAGGAAGAAGAAGAAGAAATATGCTGTTTTTTTCCCCTCAGAAATTTCAGTTGCTCTACAGGGAGCCTTGAGAAAGAAGGTCTCAGAGGAAATGAGTTCTGAGGACAGCCAGGAAGAAGCTGAGGCAGAAGACCAACCTCCAAGCCAAAGAGGGCCACAGGATTGCAAAAACCGTGTGAATGTGTCAGCCTCACCTCCTGTGTCACCACCAAAACGAGGTAGAGGTTTTGAGTTTGCAAGCAGGTTGCACAGAGCCTATTTGAGTGGGAACACCCACATTTTTGGACTGTGGACAATGCTAACCACATCCTCGCCTACAAGAGGTGTTCTCCGAATAGATCCTGTGGTTCACTGTAACAACCGAACGGAGGTGAGAGATTCTTTTGAAGTCCACAAGCAGAAGGTTCTCCACGCTGACTAGGAAAGCCACTTTCTGCAACTCGATGGCCTCCCGTCTAGGTGATCTGGATCATCAGGGCCATGAAAGGGGTTAAGGACCCAGAATCCTTGACATGGGGCTGTGGGCAGACCAATCTAAGGCACCATCAATGATGGTGGCTCTGTGTTGAAGCATCTGATCTCCTACTTCCTCTTTTCTGGGGGAGAGCCACTAAATCTCAACATCTATGCCCAAACATCCTTTGAACCCACATCTGAGCAACATACCTGGAAGTCTATGAGAAGGTGAAGGTTTCCTCAAAGAGGATTAGATGAAGAACCAACCCCAATCTTGACAGCCTCAGGAGCAAGCCAACAATTCTCTCCAGAACTTCCTGGTGCTCCGTCCTGAAGAGTTCTCACATGCAACCACCCACTCGTTTCTGTACCTCAACCCTTCGCTCACCCACTTATGATTTCCTTGTTCTCGGCTCGGATGAAGTGCTCCTTCTCAGGTGTCAGGATGCACAGCGAGAACTTCTGCCCGGTTCGATTCTCTCCATCCACAACATCCGTACACTGGTTCATGTTGATGGTTCCTTGAGGCAAAGTGGTGGGCTGGAAAAGAAACAGAGAACAATGAGCAAGTAAGAAGAGAAACCATGGAATGACAACCCTTACAAGTAGTCCTCAAATCATGGTCAATCGCTTAGGGACTGTTGTAAATTACGACAGCGCTGAAAAAGGTGACTTACAACCAGTCCTCAAACTTACAACCCTACAATTCCCTTGATTGTCATTTGGTGTTTGGCAACTGGCTTGCAATTTACACATTTATCCCTGGGGTTATAATTAGTGACTTTCCCAGCCAGCTTACATCAAGCAAAATCAATGGGGAAAGTCACAAGTCGCAGAGATGCAACGTCTCATTTAATGACGGACAGCATTTCACAACAATCTTTGTCTTAATTGTAGTCAAAGGTTAAGGACTATCTGCGTTTCCACCAAACTGGCTTTCTCAAATATGGCGGAATCACTTTGGGAACATTGCAGTGGTTTATTTGCATTATTTTCCTTTCTAATATTCAACATGCATGGAAAAATCTCTCTCCCTCAAACCCATATGTAAGCAATTTTTCAAGCATTTCTACAACCTGATCCTCTACATGTTTATTGGAGTCGCAATTCCCAAAATTTCACACCCCGATTCCCTTTTTAAGGCAGCTTAAGGTGAAACTTGTCCCCGGTTTCCATTCCAAGCTGGAAATCAGAAAACTTTGCTTCACCTTTCACCGTTTGGCTCCATCAACCATCTCAGCTACGTCATGGCCCCTAAAACCAAGCTTTCCAAACCCTGCAAATTAAAACCTTAAAAAAGCCAACTAAACATGGGCTCACCTCCTGCTATTCTTAACATCATAATTTTAAATACCGGTTTTAAAATTGGCAGCTACCTCTTTCTGGAAAACAGCATCCGAAAAAGAAAAAGAAAAAAGACAAGACACAATATTGACTGGGGCTAAAAGTATCCCGGGAGGAAAACGGAGCCAAGAAGAGGTTGCATCCAACTTTCTCTACTGTGGTTTTCATCCAAAAAGTCATCTCTGTGACTCACACCTTCTTGCCAAGACACACACACACACACACACACACACACACGTACATTATACTCTCTCCAAATGTCTTCTTTTTTGCAACTTTCTTCAATCACCAACCCAACACTCCAAAGCAGGGCTCTTCAAACTTGACAGCTTTAAGACTTGTTGGACTTCAACTCCCAGAATTCCTCCTCCAGTCATGTTAGCTCAGGAATTCTGGGAGTTGAAGTCCGCAAGTCTTAAAGTTGCCAAGTTTGGAGATCTTTGCCTTCAACTGTGCAGTCCGTATGTCATGGAGACCGCCATGCTCCATCTGTTCAGAGCTTGTGAAACCCCAGATCTGCTGCTAGTCACCAGAATACCACACCAAGCAGGACCAAGCTGTGACTCAACTCGTGTGTCCTCCATCCCAAAAACATCAGACTTCCACACAATAAGTGCTTTAGTGCAATGGCACAACGTTCACATGTGGGAAGGAGTAGAAGGTGGGAGGGGAAGAAGCGAAGCAGTAGCCACATCTGCTCCTTTCCCGGAGGAATGGTGACAACCCTGCCGTTTCTCCTTCCAGCCTACAAGAGATCAGCCAGAGGACACGTTAAAAGAGGTTTGAAGTTTACTCAAGACAGACAGCAAGTCTAAACAGCCAGCCAGCCAGCCAGCCAGCCAGGAGCAGAGAGATGGATGACAAGGCTGAAGAACCATGGATGGCTTCCTCTTAACCCTGTCTGGTCCCTGGAGGAAGGATGGAGAGGGACCAAGTTTCTCACACATTGGGTGTTGCGTCTCCTGGTTTCCCCTTATCTTTTCTCTCTGGGTGGAGAAATAGCAACTAGCCTGCAGCCACATCTTAGATACCAAGGACCAAACTCTCTTGACCGTTACATCATCCCACATGCTATGGCCTTCAGAAGTCCCCGCTCGATCAGGAAGTGTGAACCAGGTGATCGACTTCTTCTAAGCTAACTTCTTGCAGACCTCCTCTACTTAAAGGTGCTCGGACGGTCGCTCTGCATCCCAAAGGACTGAAATACTTGGTCCAACAACCAACTGATAGACAGGAGGTTGAATTAAACCAGGAAGGAGCAGACAAGCTCCGTGGCAGAGTTTCGGTGTCATTATTCGTCCTTTGAACCCAGAGCAAGAAGGGAAATGCAAGGACTTGAAGAAAAGTATTTGTTCTTAAATTATATGCTCTCCCCTCTGCCCCAACCCTCCATTTTCAACTCAACAAGCTTCGAGCCGTGTGCATTTCCACACAGATTTCCCTGCCATGGGTGTGCAATCAGCTAAACCCTTAACGGGCTGCTGGGACGGTTTGCGCAGGAAGGTCTTCCCTCCCCCTCCCACACACCCCTGTTCTCTCAGCAACGGAATCAAACAAGCTTTTTGTGTCTCCGGCTATTCTTCCTTATAAGGGGATGCTTGCATGCCACTGTGATTTGCCTGCTGAACAGCCCAGCTTCCCAACTCAAATCTCTTTCCCCACCAGGCCGCCTTCCAGAAATAAATTGGGTTTGCAACTCTCTGAATCCCCCCGCTATCCTGCCAACTTCCTTCTGGATTCTGTAAGGCATCAAACCACCTACAACCTCTAGAGATTAACTCTACCAAGACAACACCTGCCAGATCAACTCTGGAGGCATCACTCAAGGGTCAACGGGGAACCCATAATTTCAAGGATTTGATCACTGAAGTGTTGCTCTTATTGGCTTGTCTTCTGGAGCAACTGCAAACTTGGCCTCATCTTCTCGGTGACAGATAACTGAAGACAACGATGGTGCCTCCTTCAAGTCTCCTCTTCTCTAGCTGAACATGTTCATAATCTCCTCCAGCTGCAAGATCAGAGAGCTGGGTAGCCTCTCAAGGGGCAGAGATTCTTCTGAACTCTTCCCTTATTAAAGGGGGGTCCTGACTCCACTCCAAATGAGAAACAGCCATGTCAGTTTCCTGTTTTCAGGCCCATCTGGTCCCCTCTCCAACAACATAGAAGTTGCTCAGGTGGGTGAAATCCATGTTGGCTTAAGGATGCCCTCTAGTTCAGGATACGTTGATGCCCAACCGTCTTAGAACCATCTTCTCCAAAACTTTGGAAAGTCCAAGAGCAGAGTCACCAGAGCTAAAAAGGAGAGGTCTGCTAGCAAGGTCAGCCAAGTCAACATGGCTTCATAGAAGCCATGATTACATATGAATCGAAGTCCCGCCTGTCTTTTACATGTGACAAAGAGATGAGGCCTCCTTCTCTTTTTCTTACTTCTTGCTTCCAGGGTCATCCACAGCCCCCAAACCTAATGGTTACGGCCATTATCGTGACTTTTGGACCTTCCAAACGGACCCCCTACAGATACCCCTGGAGATGTCAACAGCAGTTGTTTCTCCATGGGGCTCTTTGAGAAACAGCTGACACCAGGATTGTGTAGAGGAGAAGGCAAAGCCCTGTAAACAGTGCGTGTGTGTGTGTGTGTGCGTGTGTGCGTGTGTGTGTGTGTGTGTGTGTGTGTATGTGTTCAAAAGGAAAAAAAGTCAGAGGAATCTGCTAGTTCTGTGCATTAGCACCCACTTGCTAACAGATGGCCCCTCCACAGCTCCAGGTAAGGTCTTGGAAAGTCCAAACCCTGATGTGTATAAGTACCAGATGGCTGCAATTAATCTATCTCTGTGGAAAACCCACTTCCTGTGTTTCTCACAAGAACACACAAATCCGAAACAGCATTTTTTGATATCTTTTGACTAGCATCGAGAGAGAGAGAGAGAGAGAGAGAGAGAGAGAGAGAGAGGATGTCCAACCATTTCCTTCCCATTCGGCATCTGAGAACCGTTTCCTCTGGAGACAGAAGTTCAGAGGTCTCCTGCACCCAGGATTCAAGTCAGCAGCTCCCTTTTAGGAATGGCTGCATCTGTAGGTATCTGCTGCCAGCCAGGATTCAGAAAGAAAGGGCCCTGTGTCTTCTTAATTGTTCTACAAATAGGTCCATTGTCTGGCAAGGCAGGAAGTAACCTCTACGTAATTAGCGCAACACAATTAGCGCTGTTTGAGATTGCCAAACCCAAACAGTAGCAAACAGCCTCCTTAAAGATCAGCAAATCAATTGGGACAATCAAATCAAGTGTCCTGTATTGTCATGCCCAGAGGTTGCTCCTCTTAGCAGCCAGTCAATGTCCAAAGGGCCACGTTCAACCAGACATGAACAGATTGGACCTCTGCGTCAACTTAACTCTCTGCTGAAAGTTGACATTCTTGACGATCACCTCCTCTGTGGCTCCCAATGCTGGAAGGCATGGGAAAAACAAAAGCAAAGAGGCATCAGGTCTTCTCAGTCTCTCCAGCAGGAATTAATGCCGAACTCTTGGCTCACAGTTGATCTTTTGTGGATGACCAATGATAATGTCTCCCGTTTCCCTTTAGGAAGGGATGGACGCTGGATGAAGGGGTAGTGAAAGTAAGATGGTTCCTATCTTTAGACCTTGACTCACACATTTTCGCTTCCTGTTAGGGGCATCGGATGTGGGAAAAGGCCTCTGCCCCTCCCTGGTCATTAGGGTCTCACATGGGAAGCCCACAACCTCCCCTCAAGATTTTCCGCATGGCTGTTTTTCTCAGCCATGTTCCGATGTTCAAGCCATGAAGCTCCAGCCCTTCCCCTTCACAGTTCAGGAATGCTGGAGGCCAGCCTGGTGGCGAATGTATTTCTCCTTCCCTGAACTCCTTGCACAAAGCTTCCACTCTCTTGCACAGGCACAAACACACACACACACAAGCCCAGCATATCTGGGGCTCCGACCCAAAATGCCTTGTCGACAGGATGCTGGAAAGCTGAACTCTGTGCAAGGAACAATCCAGGAGAGGCCGGAAGAGGCGTTGCTACGCGACCGTTTTATTTCTGCTGTGCTGGAGTAAAAATAGAAAATGGAGGAGACAAACGGAGGGCCTGAAAGAGCGGCTGGCAACGGGACAATCTGGAGACGGCTTAAAAATAGCCATTCATCTCTGGTGATGGGCAAAGAGTCCCCCCCCCGCCCCCC